GTGTTCTTCTTACCTGGTACAGAAAAAAGTAACACTGCAGGTGAATGAGAATGTGGCTAAAAGGAATTCCCGTGTATCTTTCAGTGAAAGCAGAGTAATTCTGGGGAATTCATTGTCAAATAATTACCTAGGGATTTCTGTTTTAAGTGCAGGCTTATATTAAATGTCTGGATGAGGTGCAAAGTGTGAGACTTTGCACGTGCCTCAGTATCAGGAAATGCACAAAGGAACACAATCCTGTGTGAATGTAGGCAGTGTGTATTTAGGTGCACCCGAGGAGGTGGTAAGAACGTTCTCACACAGTAGCTGAAGATTCTGGGAGGTTGTACTGAAGGGAGAGTATCTCCAGTCTGAGTAACTTTAGTGAGAAATGGGGTCTCACATGGAAGGTTTCACTGCTCTGTTGGCTCCAACAACCAGTATTCTGTCTCCTGGTGTTTCCCAGCACAAAGTGGGGTCTTGGCAAACTCCGGGAGGTGATCTTGCAGCCCAGTTCAAGTGTAACAAAAATCACCTTGCTGCCAAGTGTTTGTATTGTGGAATTTTGTGGTGTATAGAATTTCACATCGCAGTACCTGCAGTTGGATCACCTCCCTCAGGAGCCCCTGTCAATTTTTAAAGTTCCTTTGAGTATGGATTTCTGCAGAATTCAGCCCGTTTCTCAAAGAGAGAGCTTCCAGCAAATCAGAAATACCCAGTGGCTGGAATCTGTGGTGTGTGATGCTGTACTGAACAGTGTGACTCCAAACAGCTCTATTCCTCACAGACATGGGAAGGGTATTTTCCTGGGTGTTTTGTGGTGGTTTTTCCCCCCTCAGATGAGTAACAACTTTGTGTGTGAACAGGTGGGGGCTGCAAACTTTGTGGTTCTGTGGAGCACTTCAAGAAGGACTGCCCGGAGAAGCAGAACACAGGTGAGCTGCAGGGGGTGTGGGGTGGCTGTGGGCAGGGAAAAGGCTTTGGGAAGAGAACTTGGAAGCAGCAGAGGTGACCTTTTGTTGGTCACCACACTCAGGCAGGGTGTGGAGGAGGCAATGAGGTGCAGTGCAAAAATAAGATATAATAATTGTATTTTTAAAAAAAATATTCTTGAGAAGGCCATATGAAATAATCTTGTGTGTATCTGAAGGCCATATGAAATAATCCGTGCTTTTTTGGCCTGTATTTGTGCTGATGTTCACGGTTTGGCAGCTGTGCAGCAGAGGTGGCTGCTGCTTTTTGCAGATTTCAGTGTGAAGCGCTGGAGCTGAACCCAATGCCAGCTGCAGGGTGGTGCTGTGTGCAGGCAGGTGTGTCAGGCACCCAGGACAGGGACAAAGATCTGTCCAGCTTTGGATTCACAGCTATTGAACTGCTTTCTTACCTGTTCTTCAGCTTTCCATCTGGGTGGAAAAATTAAATTAGGTTCTCCAAACCCCCACTGTGCTACAGGAGGCAAAGTATCAAACAAGGGTTTGAGAAGTGATCCTCTTACAGGAGTGCTGACCCACCTCTGCATTTTTCTACGTTGTTTCTATGACACTTAGTTAACATGCCAGAAAATAATTAGCCACTTCAGTGAAATTTATGTAAGAAGTATTTATGGCATTTTCTATATCTGATCCTATGACATTTTTAAGGTCTGGGACCATATGTAGGATTCTAGGTGTGTGCTGCTTTGCCAGTTTAGAATGGGTCAGACTTGGTATGACACAAGTTTATAACACCGAAAGACAGAAATTTCCCCAAACTCATCTGCAAGTAGCGAGGCTGTGCCCACTTGGGTGACTGATGTTTTAGAAGCCTGTAACTAGATTTTTCCCACCTTTTTCTGGTAAGTTTAACATCCATGATGAGGACTGTAAGTGCTGTTTGTTTTCCAAAGGGACTTCTTTCAAAACCAGCACTGCTGTTTATAAGCAGTGTAGTTAATTGGAACTGTGACACCATGGGCAAGAATTGTGATGTTCTTTGAGATCAGGTGTGCACTGTGCAGAGTATGTTCAAGTACAGGAGGCCAGGTGAGAGCTGGCAAAGCAGCTGCCAGTTTCCTCAGGCAGGTTGGGCCAGCTGTGGTGTCCAGAGGCAGATGTGGGTACTGTGGCATTCCCTGTGTGCAGCACTGGGATCTCTGTCCTGCTGGGATCTGTGTCCTGCTGGGTTCTGTGTCCTGCTGGGTTCTGTGTCCTGCTGGGTTCTGTGTCCTGCTGTGTCCTGCTGGGTTCTCTGCCCTGCTGGGGCAGCCCCCAGGCTGTGCAGGTGGCAGAGCTGGCCCTGGCACTGCTGTGTTGTGTCCCTGCAGAGCAGGTGACAGTCGGGCGCTGGACCCCCGGCCTGAGCGCGGACCACGAGGACGTCGCGGCCGCGCCGGCGCCGCAGAGAGCGCAGCCCAAGCGACCCAAAGTTGTCACTTTCTGAAGGACTCCTGGCTCTCCATCAGCTCTCCTGCACTGCTGCACTCCAGAGTGGTGACGACAGAGAGCAGATCCAGAAGAACAAGCAGGCTGCAGAGGACTTGCTGGGTGTTTTCCTCCCCTCATTTTCCCCCTTTGCCTCCCAAACTTGCCTGTCTCACTTTGAAGCTGGGAACAACAGGAACACAGCAAGTGGCTATTTTGTTAAAGCATTTGTGGGTGTGTTTTAAAGGTTCATGATGGATTCTGGTTTGGATTTGCCTTTTCCTTTTAGGGATAATGAACTCCCTCTTGTGTATGTTCCAGCTTGAGCAGCCTTGTGCTGAAGTTACAGATCAGCCCTGTGGAGCTCGGGGTGCAGTTCCTGACGGCAGTACGTGTTACTGTCAGCCATCCATTGGTCATGCACACGGGGTCATTTGAGTCTGCTCACTAACAGAATCAAGCCCTTCCTCTGAAACCTGTGGTGAAACACACCCCTAAAGAATTGGAGAGCAAGTGATGAGCTTTCTTAGGTTATTTACTTCTTTTTCAAAGAAAATGCTCAAAAATCTGCAGTTTCTATGCCTTGGTGAGCTGGGAGTAAACTTTTCTTTGTAGTGCGCCTGCCTGCTTCATGGCAGATTTACTGTTTTTAAATAGAGACTGCAGCCTTATAAAAACTAATGGATATTAGAAGGAAACATAAGGAAACCAACTCCAAACAGGGTTCCTGCAGCGTTACTGAGAAGTGCATCCTGAGCTCCCCCCACACACTTTTTTTGCAGCAAAAAACAAACATGGGGAATGAAATTGTGTGGAGATATTTTATATTTGTACAGGTAATTGTTTTTAATAAAATGCTGCTAAAGAATTTCAGTGGTTAGAGGTCTTATTTTGGTTTCTTGGTGCTGCTGTGGAGACTGAGTTAGGGGGCGTATGTTCAGTTTGTACTAATCTGAGCACATTTTTAAATGGGCAAGAGGAGTGGATGTGAATAAAACCAAGGATTAATTATGGGGTTTTAATTAACTATTGGATAAAAACTCAAAGCTATCAGCTTACTGTGGACATTCTGGCAACAGACATTTATCCCAGCTTAAGAAGCGCCTGCCTTTCTATTCTAAGAATTGAGTATATTGTTTAAAAAGCATCTTTTTAGATGATTTCCCGGCTCCTTGGCTTTGTAATGTGTTGTTGCAGCCTTGGGGCCGTGGATTTGTCCCCGTGGTAGCAGTGCTGCCCAGGGAGGGCTGGGCAGGCAGTGGGGTGTGCTGTGGCTGCAGGAATGCACCTGTGCAGGGGCTGCCTGCAGCGGTGTAAATGCATTAATTGACAGTGCCTGGTGCAGGCAGCATCTGGGCTCGTTTTCCCGCTGCCTGTGTCCACAGCCAACATTAGGGGTCTCTCTTCACCAGCACAGGGACCCAGGGCGGCTCTGCCATCACCTGCGGGGCTCGGGGAGGGAGCCGGGCCCTCCGGAGCTGGCAGGTGGCAAGCACGACCTTGGTGGCCTCCGTGCTCGCAGGATGAGGTGCTGCGCTTGATGCAGGGGAAGGGGACCTGATCCGGACTGGGTGTGTGGGGGCTGCTGCCGAGTCAGAGGCCAGGAGCTGTCTCTGCCTGCGCTCCTGGCGAGGCACAGCCCGGTGCAGTGGCTCAGCAGGCACAGCTGGCCCGAGCCGAGCCGCACGACAGGGGACACCGCAGAGGTGACACCGCAGAGGTGACACCGCAGAGGTGACACCGCAGAGGTGACACCGCAGAGGTGACACTCCCAGGGCTCCCCCCGGTGCCTCCCCTGCCACCAAGAGAAAACCCACCAGCAGTGCAGGGCAGCCTCCTGCACCCCCGGATACTGTGATGAAACCTGTGGTGAGTCTGTAAGCTCGGGAACAGCAATCCATCCAGTCACAGATAAACGGACGGGCACTGAGGTACAGACATCGGCAAACACTCCTTTACATGGGCTGTAATCAGTTTATAAATAATGGCTGTGCAAGGACGTGCATGGCAAGGTCAGAGCACTGGCAAAGCTAGTTGGTAGCACTGGTTTCTGCAGATTACAAGGGATGGTATTTTAAAACTGCCTGGATGTCTCTCTGTTCAATGTAGCATTAAAATGGTGAAATAGTCTTATGAACTATAGCTCTACTGAGCCAAGTTCTGCCTCCATTTATATAAAATTCATTAATGCAATCAAAAGCAGAATCTGTTCCTTAATCTTTTTTAAATTAAAGATTGTATTGAGAGCCTAAGGCCTAAGCTTGGTTTGATAGAAAATGCTTGTACCAGGTATTTTCAGGCTGAAGCCCAATACTGACTACATGATCTGAAACAAGTAACCTACAGAGAAATGACTGACACCCTTGCAGGAATTCAAGCCAGAACTGCCTGGTAATCTTCAGATGTCCCTTCAGAAATCTGTTTTTAACTTCAGCACTTGCTGTCTTCCAGCTCCAAGAACTTTATACATTCCAAAGCAGTGTCTTCAATGGATTTTGATGAGCCAGTAAGATTTGCAGCTAAGTAAGGCATAACTCCTGATGTCACTTGATTGAAGTAACACACCTGTTTGAACAAAAGTAAATGAAACAAAAGAGCCTATGGATTGCAAGTTAGCCATTTTTTTGTTTTGCAGAGCCTGGATGAGTACCACAGTTTTTATGGATGTGAATAGAAGCACACAGTGCTTCTGAAACTGAAGGCAGTAATTTGCAAAAGGCATGCCTTTTTCACAGCACTCCAGTGATGTGGGTGTCCTTGCTGCTCTCGCATCTGCAGGTAAATGCACGGAGCAGTGCAGCAGGAAACACCGTGCACAATGTGTTAAATACGTCTGCTTTGTGAACAAAGCTGCTCCCTGAAAAAAAGGAACTGCAGCCACCAAGAGCTGCTCAAAGTTTTCAGAAAAGTGTTTTCTTAAATGGAAAAGTTTTAGCCTTGCCATGGCAAAGAAGATGGGCATGGGTCCAGAGATGGGAGTCAGATTGTGTGATTCCTGGCATATGGAAGTTCAAGCGAGGAATTTAATTTGAACTAATTAATGATGGCACACCACCAGGCACCAGTGTAATGCACATCCTCTAGAGGTGTATTTTAGGACTCAGTGAAGGACTCTGGAGGGGCAGGGCAGCCTCCTGTGCTCGGTTTAGAGCCCATTTCTAACACTCAGATTGGCCAAAGCTGGGCAAGACAGACTCCACACACCCAGGATGAGATTTTTTTTTGAGGTATTTTGTTGTTCCCTCTGCAGAGTGTCAGCTTGGGTGGGGTGACAGCCCCAGCACAGGGGCACAGGGCAGGGCACAGCACGGGACACTCACGGTGCAGGAGCTGCTGCTGTTGCTGTGGATCTGGAAGCCAGCGCAGAGGATTTCACTCCTGCAGAACCCCGGGCTCGGGGGCGCCGTCCCGAGGGTCACCGACCTCACAGCCACCGTGTAGGGCTCCCTGCAGGGCAGGGACAGCTGTCACACCCTTCCTCTCCTTAAAACCGCTCACCAGCCTACAACATGCCATTTTCACAGGAGGGCACAGGAGCTCGGCTGTGCCCAAGGATCCTGCTTCAAAGCCTGGGCCCTGCTGAGTCTCAGGCTGCAGCACAGACTCCAGGTCAGGAGACCTCTGTGGCAAACAGAACAATTCCCCACCTTTTCTTTTTAATTCACCCTGCTGTCCTCAGCCCAAGTTTACAGCATCAGGGAACAACCCTTACCCAGAGGCTTCACGGTGTGGCCACTGTACAGGTATCCAAACTCATTCAACCCCCCCTAGCACAGTACAGAATATTGCCTTTTAGTGTTAACTTGAAGAATTACTGAATGTGAGAAAAGAAACAGAATAAAGAAGGATAAGCTACACCAAAAGGTTCCATTTGCCCATGTTTCGCTGTGTAAGAACAAAAAAGAATCTAATAAAAAATAATAAAGCTTTAGAAAGCAGGTATGTTAAAATGAGCAAGGGACTTGGCAGAATTCACACGTACAATAAATGTGTGAGGTTTCAAGCACTTCCTTGACTAAGTAAAAACTCTGTAATTACATGGAATGGGAGTATAAAGTCACTTCAAACAAACAGGAAACAAACTCCCAGCTAGGTGTTTCAGCCCACTGACAGGCTCTCTGGGACATGATTTTTTTCCCAATTTCCCCATTTGAAATTCTGGCCTCTTTGTCCTCCTGGTAGGCCACTCCCAAAGTGTCACTGTCAAAGAATCAATACCAGACTATGCTAAAAATTTATGATGATCTGGATTTATTTCACTGCACCTTCACATTGCAAAACAAGTCTGGTTGTACAAACTCAGGCATCAACAAAGGAATCTCACTCCTTAAAACGTGAAATGCCATCTTTGTCACCTGGAGACAGCTCAAGGTCACAGGACTCCAGAGCTTGGCCCCCAAGTGCTCAGAGCTGAAATCAGAGCCTAATAAAATACTCACTGTGGCCTGCAGGGCTGCCTTTGGGACACCAGAATCACAAAGTCTCTGGGTGGGTGGCCTGTCATGGGGGCAGAGGTGACGTGGTAGATTTTCTCCTCCTCACTCACAGCCTGCAGGAGCTCGCATGTCCTGTGAACACATTTATCACAGACATCAGGCCCTGGCGTGTGCAACAGCACCTCCTCCAACAAACCCAGCACAAACAGGCTCCATCCTGACACTCAACCTCTGATTTTCATGTTCCAGCAGCAAGGCAGAGAGAGTGAAAAAATTAAGGTTTCCTGCAACACCCCATCAACAGTATTTCTTTAGGTTTCATTCATTACAAGCTGTAAATTCAGTAGAGTTTAGATTTTCAAATATCTCTAAGGTTCCACTTCCACCCTCTGGTAAAAATCTCTCAGGGTGTAATAGCTAACTGAAAATGCTTCACCAAATCAAATTAGTATAATTTCAATGCAACTGTCTCTAATCACTATTCTACACCATAAAAAGTAAATAACGAACCTCAAATACCTTTTAGAGCCATTCCAAAACCTGTGCCAAATCATGCAGGCTTTCAAACATGTTATTTTTCTGAAAATATGAATTTTGAAGGACCCCATTTCTTGATTCCTCACTTTGACTGTACAGTGAAACTCAGCATCATTGTCCCCAAGAGCACAAACATGATGGAATCCAGGTTTTCCTTGATTTTTAAAGCTAGCATACACAATATATATCCACCACAGTTAACTTTTCCTTTCTTTACTCGTTTTGGGTTTTTGTCACTTTGAACATACACATGTCCAGGATTTGAACTGTGCTCATTTAAATGGAGGATGACCTCTGTCCTACCCCTCCCTCTTGACAGAGCACTCTGTATTTTGGAGCCAGACTAAGCACAAACCGAATTTTACTTCCACAGTAAAACACCAAAACCCATACTTTGACCAGCGAACGCTTGATGTCAAATTCTGGCAACGCTTTCTTCCTAAGGGAGCAGCCCAGTGCCAGCACATCAGGGGGTGTGTGTCAGGGAAGAGGGGTGGTCAGGGGGCTCAGAGCCCAGGGAGGGGCAGGGTCTCACAGGAAATGTCTGTCCCAGCGCTGGCGGAGGCTGAAGTCGGACAGGAGGGAGAAGGCAGCGTGGGATGGGACCTTCACCTGCATCTCCACCTTGAATGACAGCACAGCACCCTCCTCGTGGGTCCAGATTTTCACCTGGGGGGGGAAATAAAAATAAAAAGAGAGAAAGAGAGAAAGAGAGAAAGAGAGAAAGAAAGAAAGAGAGAAAGAAAGAGAGAAAGAAAGAAAGAGAGAGAGAGAGAAAGAAAGAGAGAGAGAAAGAAAGAGAGAAAGAAAGAGAGAGAGAGAGAGAGAGAAAGAAAGAAAGAGAGAAAGAGAGAAAGAAAGAGAAAGAAAGAGAGAAAGAAAGAGAGAAAGAGAGAGAGAAAGAGAGAGAGAAAGAGAGAGAGAAAGAGAGAGAGAGAGAGAAAGAAAGAGAGAAAGAGAGAAAGAGAGAAAGAGAGAAAGAAAGAAAGAGAGAAAGAAAGAAAGAAAGAAAGAAAGAAAGAAAGAAAGAAAGAAAGAAAGAAAGAAAGAAAGAAAGAAAGAAAGAAAGAAAGAAAGAAAGAGCATGTATTAAAAACAAAGAGTGATGACTGTAAACATTCAGATGCATAAATGCCACACATTTAGGACTAGGTTTTCTCAGGAGTTCCTGGGAAATTCCACAAGCCTTTGCTCAGGCAAATCAGCCACACCTTGTCCTAGACCCCCTGCCCCTAGGGCAACCCAGCACTTCCCTTTCCAAAATGGCCTTTTTTTATTCCTGCTCTCTTCTGTGAAACAGAGCACCCAGAACTAATGATACTCTAAATAACTACTAAAATTCATAGTTTTACATTTCTTACCCCACACCTGTACTATCTTGCCTTGATTATTTTGCGTCTACTTCTACTTACAGGCCTAAAACCCAAAACAGAGAATTCAAAAGGAATAACCTGTACATAACAATGCACACACAAAAGAAGTGTTTGGCACCTCCCACAAACGTGGAAGAAGATGGGTACAACAGAATGCTTAGAATTAGAGGATTTTATCCCCAAATTCGCGTGCCTTATTGCTTCTCAAATCCTGAGAAGTTCAACAGAGTTTCATTTCCAAGTGATGCAAAATTCCTAAGCTTCATCATCACTGTTGAGGTTTTGCTGGGTTGTTTTGTTGTTTTGGGGTTTTTTTTTTTTGCTGCATCAAAAATGAACAATCTTTTAGTTACACTGCATTTTGAATTTCTGGATTTTCCTGTCTTGGAAGAGGAAATAAACCCCAACATTATCCAGCAAACACCTTGCTGAAGTAAAGTCTGGGGTAAAATTAAATGCTGAAGAGCTTTAAAAACCATCTACAGGAGGTCTGCATCAACATTCCTCTAAGGCACAGAACAGAAATCAGGTTGTTCTAGGAGACTGGGAAAATCACAAAACAAAGCTGGAGGTGCAGCTGTCAAAGTGAACATTTAAAAAAGCTGTTAAGTGAGCATTGGCAAGGCTGGATCATTTCTACAAGTTTTCAAGCCCCCTGGTTTTGTGTCAAAAACATCAGAGTTCCACTTTTTAACCTTCAAAAATGGTCAGTCAGCTTGGGGTCATTCCAGCTGCAGAGAAAAGGGAACAAACCCTCTGCACTTCAGGGTCATTGCCCCTTGTGCTGTCCCTCTCCAGACTGCTTGTAAGCCCCCTTTAGGTATTGGGATGTGCTTCAAGGTCTTCCCAAAGCCTTCCCCAGGATGAACAACCCCAGTTTTTCTCTCTGCCTGTCTCCACAAGCTGTTTCAAGCTTGTTTTTCCCAGCACCAGTGTTGTCTGCTGTTTATTTGGCACAGCAGTGTCTTTAACCACTGCAACAACCTACACATGGCACTGGCAGTTTTGCCATCACTGGAATTCCTTACCATTTGTATCTGCCCTTACTCAAGTATCTTACTCAAGTACCTTACAGTGTTTCATAGCCTGTGACACACAGGAGACAAAAATACTTTTAGTATTTTAACTAAAATAGACTAAAATACTGCAAAAGTCTTTTATTGTCCCAAAACACCTCTGAATCCACGTGACCTTGAAGTCAACTGCCAGCCACTATCCACATTTCAGAAACTCAGCCTTGGCAGATGCCTGATGTCTCTCCATTTGTCTGGAAAACATGCACTGCAACAGGGTTAACACCAGGATTTTCCCCTCTGCTAGAACTGGTTTACACGAGTTTTCTCACTGATTTTGGGTTTATAACACAAATTCCATGAACAGGGAGGTGCTTTTGCTTTCAGATCTCTGTAATTTCTTTTCTGCACTTACATTATCCAGAGTCTTCGTTATGTCCCACCCTGGTTTTCTTGCCAGGTGTGTCAGTGCAGCTATGTTGCTGTAACTCAAATATGCCTGAAACACAAGACACATGTCTGAAAATGGAGGGGTAAAGGTACATTTCACTGAACACTGCAGAAACGAGGTGTCCTTTTTTCCTATCATTATGCTCCAACTGCAAACAAATGTTTATTTTCCTTGTAAGTGAAAACACACTTCAGTAGTTTCTGAATTAAAACACTTCCAGTGGCTTCCTGATGCACTCATATGGCTGTTGGCAAAACAATCTTAATTAAAGGACAACAAAACACTATTTTCAGCTTCTCCAGTTATAAAGCTGTGAAGAACAACTTTGACCACCAGGGAGACAATACAGATAACCTCTCAGACCACTGAATTAATGGTTTTGTCCATCTTCCTCTTAAGTAATTAGAATTGACTCAAAAATTAACCTCTTCCTTGCTACCAGGCTGGGTCCATACTGGCAATTGCTCTACACAGCAGGCTCACAGCAAAGGAAGTGCAAATACATCCATTCTTTATGCTTGGCTACAGTGGATGGAGTTCTCATTTAACCACTCCATAAAGAGAATATGGCCTTACAGCCTTTTACTGGCAGGCTTTGATTTCATAGGAAATAAATCTTAGACAAGCCACTTCTAGTACTGTGTGCATATTTACATTATATGTTCTGCAGGGAAAAAAAAAGGGGAAAAAAAGGGAAAAAAAAGCTACTTTAACCACACAAACTGGACACTGAAACAATGTTTAGCTTATCTATAAATCCACCTCACTTCAGTTTGAACACCATTCATTGCAAGACATGGGCACAGTACAAAGCAAAGACGCCTGGTGAAGGGTACCTGGAAATGAGCAGGATTTCACCTCTCTTTTCCACAGAAACAAAGCTGATGCTATTCCAGTCTTCGTATCTCTGTTGCTATCTCTCCCCTCACTTTTGGCACGTACTAAGTGGCTTCCTCACTGCAATTTTTCAGACATCCTGTGGCTGGATAAAGCCAAAAAAAAAAAAAAAAACAAACCCAAAACCCCCAAACTACTTCCTCTACAGGAGAATTCAGCTTTTGCAACAGCTGGGGACATTGAGGGATAAATCTGCAGGAGACCTTAAGGGAAAACTTGTATGCATCTGTTTTAAAAAGACTTTTTTTTTTATCCTTTGTATTGAACCTACTCTTAGATCAGTAGTGAATCATCTTCTCCCTCCTTTTAGAAGAGAAATGTCACTGTGTTACATGTCCATCCATTCCTCGTGACTACCACAACACTTCAGAGGGTCCACCTGCACTGCCACAGCCTGAACAGCTGCTTCACACACCCCAAAAGGTGCACAAATACAGCTTTTTATGCACCTACAGATTACCTGGTTGCTTGTCTCCCAGGCATCAGAGGGCTTGTCTCCTCTAGCAGATAGCATGCATTTTCTAAAACATAATTAAAAAGAGACATAGTAGCATAAATTTGTTTTACACATCTGTGTATGCTAGGAAAAATCACTTTCTATAGGCTTAAGTGTCTTCTAAATACAGGTACTTTATCAATTTTTGGTCTGCAGTAACTGCTTTTCCTTTCTGAGAAAGACAGTGAGACAAAGTAACATCCAAAGCAAAGTAATTTTGAGACAAGTAGCCTCTAACAATTTCAGTGCCACGGAAACAAAATTATTTGTAAGTGTAAGCCATGTAACAGTCATACACACATTAAGCAGAGTTCAGTTACTTTATTTAGAGGATTAGAAAATTAAGTTCAAGGTCTGCCAGTGACCCAGCTATACCTGGTGAGTCGAATCCTCCTCCGGGCAATAGCTCCATAGTACCTCCTCACACAATCCTGCATGAAAAGTGAACCAGAGAGAAACACATCTCACTATTTTAGAACAAAGTCCGAAAAAAGACAAGTAAAAATTACTTATTGCAGATGGGCAAATGTCAGAGCAGTAATAGAAGCAAATAAAGAATAATACTTAGTGCACTGGCCTTTCCACAGGCTGGTGGTTTACTTTTTACCTTGGCAATATTTGAAATTTAAAAAAAAACAACCCAATGTGATAGAAGAGTTGTATCATTGTAGCATCCTCCTGGTGCTTTTTGGTCCTAAAGCAGGGGCAGCTGGGCAGTGCACCACACACATTCTGCTCTTTCTAAATGTGCCACCCACCAAATAAATATTACAAATATGAATACTATAAATATTATAAATAACTATTATAAATATCATCATCTGGTGCTCAAAGCACAAAGGAAAATTTTATTTTTCAAAGTCCTTTTCTCCTCTTGGGGCAGCCTGCAGTGGGCAGTTGTGAAACTGATGCCCCAGTGAGTACGTAAGACGCCTCGATCCATTTGTCTAGTTCCCACCCTACAAAAAGTAAGGTCCATGATGTTAAAAAAATTATTTCATTTCTGCCTGAAATGGCTGAAATACTGGCTCTCTAAAGCTCTTGTAACTGGAGCAGGAAGATTAGTGACAGGTGTCACCACAGCAAATAATTTAACAATAGCATTCAAACTGCTTCAAGTGCTTCATGAACCACTTTCAGGGAAACATGAAGTGAGATCTCCATGTCAAAGGAAATGAAAAGCCCACCCACGTCATGGCATTTGATTCCCACAGACTTCTTTATTCACTCCATTTCTCATCTTTGTTAAGGGTTTATAAAAATAACTATTCACTGAATACTTATAAATTTCATCTGCAGTCAGAGGAATTTGCAAGAGACGTAGACAAGTGGAAAAATCTCCAAACACATCAGATTCTTCTTCTCTACCCATCAACCATGGAATCTTTAGTCACAAGGACCCTCCACTGAGCCTCCCAGTTCTGGAAGACTCAAGCTAACAATAACAAGCCTCTCACTCGAGGGCAACCATTTCATTTGGAGCTTTTCTCCCCTGCAGAAGCTGCACTGCATGGTCTCTGCGTCCCCAGGAAGGCTGTGCTGACCACCCTGCTCCTGAGAGCTCACCTGCGTCCTGGGCTTGACCTTGGGGAAGGTCAGCAGCTCCCCTTTGTCATTCACAGCGTTAAAAATGAGGAATGCACTGTTAATGTGCCGTGGCTGGTCCTTGATCCACTCCTCACAGTTGTAAGCCTCAACACGGACACCAACCTCCACACTGCAAGGGAAGTTTAAACGAATTACTGAACTGCTACAAGTGATGCAGAAGCAGCCCTCAGACATGCTGAAAAGGACTGCAGCACCTCCAGGTGTGCAGGAAGCCTGACTCAAATACCTTCTGTAGCATAGCAAATCAATTAATCAATCTGGACAGACACACTTCTGAAATAAAATAAAATATGGCAGTAGCTAAATAGCGTTTAAAAAAAAAATAAAAAAGCAATAAATAGAACCCAGATCAACAAATGCCCAGACAGGAAGATCCTGGCAAGAATCTGGCATCTTCTGAAGAATCAGATCTCTGGGAGCAACTCAGCCCTTGAAAATCCCTGAATTTCACAGGAATATTTATTGTCTGCCTTTGCAGGAGTGGGATTTGGAGACAAATGATCTTTAAGCTGAAAGTCAGAGAATAATTTTCTTTTAAAACTTCCACTGATCAAAGTAAACAAAAAAAAAGAGGCACCTATAAGCGGTTACAGATACAGATACACCCCTCAAAGTCACACCTGAAAAACAATTAATTCACTAATGAAATCCTACTGATGGAACCCGAAACACACAGTGTAGGCTGATGCTGGAGATGCCAAGGGGGACAACAGATGAGGAGCTTTACCTGTTGTGAAAAGTGTTGTTGACAATGGCATTGAAGACGAGGCGGTCACCCACAAAGGATGGCCCCCAGAATTTGAACATGTTAACTGACTTCAGGATGGGGTGAGAGCGACAGAGGCGGCTGAAACAGAAAGCCAGAGAGACCAGAACACACAGTTGTGCCAAAAGCACAGCCAGGGTGACTGACCACAGAAACAGGGTGTGCAGGACCTGGAAGGTCACGGAATTACCCTGATCTACTCCATGTTAGCATGTTCAGCTCCAAGAGCAGGTAACTCGAGCTTCAACCATCACAATACCACTTATGTCATGCTGTTTCATTTCCTACACATTTTACAAACACCAATTAATTCTCACTGCTTGAGACTGCCCTCTCTTAAAGCCAGACCATGAATCCCTTACCTACAGAGTAACCACTTACCTGGCAGTTTCATTAATTTCTGCAGGACTGCACGGGGAGCGGGCTCCTGAGCAGCGTAAAAATGCCAGACCTCAAAGCCTTTAAACAGGTAAAGGAAACCTGAGCAGAAAGGCTGAGCACCAGTGTCCAAGCAATGACATGACAGTTTATCTAGTCTTAATATCTGTATTTTTGCTTTTTTTCAGATGCTTTCCGCTAGTGGGCTCTGAAATGAGAATTTAAAAAAGCCTCACACGGTGACCAGATGCAGTCTGTGTAAATAGAATCTGGCTTCCAAGCTCTCTGGAGCAGGCAAAAAATCAGGTTTCTCCATTGGTTCTGCATGTAGTCAAAGCCCCTCACTTTCTGCTGGGATGTTTGTGCATCAGAGGAAGAGGGGGCAATACACAACACACACCATTTATTTTTAGCCTCTGAAGCAGCACACTGCTCCCAGCAGGGAGCCCATGTGCACATCCAGCAGAGACTGCTCCACGGTGAAAGTTTCCTAAATTTGAAAATACAGTTCTGTGGCACTTACAGCTTTTAACTCAACTGCACTTTGAAAACTAATGTACCGGTATTGTTAAATGCACACAATTATCTGCAGCTAATTAACTGACTGGTACATCTCTTCAATAGTCTAATACATTTGAATTACTTTGTAATTAAATTAAAATAATTTGCTCTTCTGATTTAAAATGCTAAGCGTTGATTTTATTTACAATGCTTACTCTAAAGATGCAAACACAATAATGATGAGGAGAGGAACAAACCAGAAATCAGGCTTAAATATTAATTTTTTTTCCTGGAAAAGTACACCCTGAGTGCTTTTATTGCACATGTAAGGAATAAGAAAGTATACATCAAGTTCAAGTTAATATTATTAATATTCAAATGGTTTTAATGCTATCTGCAAGATTATCTGTAAGATTTTTTTGGCCAGCCAAAAAAAAGGTGGTGGGGAAATGACAAGCCAGAAGGAGAGTGAGTAACCTTTAACATGCCCTTAGAAATTTATTTTTCCACAGCTATCCCCTCCTCTTCCATTCCTCCATCGCTGTCTGTGGCCATAGAAACTCTTACCTGGCACCTTCAAAGGTGGGGTCTAACTCTGAGTGGCCTCACAAAGGGTTCTCAGTGAGAGAACTCAGTTACTTCTCAAGCAAAAACTACAAAATCTCTGTTTTCAACCAGCCTCTGATGCCAGCTATTATTCCTGAAATTTTCCTACATGAGTAATCATGTTTGACATAAATTAGTTCAAAGAAAATTTGTTCAATACTCCGTTTGCTGATGTTTCCCTTTCCTTTTTTAAATCTAAACGTGACTTCCACTAAAATTTGTCAGGTGAAAACAGGTAAATATCCTGAGTCATATTATGGCAAAAATCTGCAAAAGTCCCTTCAAGCCACTGTAACTACATGTGGGGGAAAGGTCAGTGCACTCTGATGTTACTAAAACAAGTTGTTTATCCAACCACTACAGAAAATCTGTTGTTATCAGTACAGCCACTGGCTACAAATCAAAACCATATGAATAATGAATGGAGAAGTCATTTAATTATTAAAGATAAAAAGGGAAAACATATCTAACGTCCCTGCAGTGAATTAGGTCACTCGGTATGCAAGGAGAATTCAGACTGAAACTTGAGTGCTGCTCACAAAGAAGCTTTGTACAGTGTCCAGGAACAGGAAGGGAGACAAACAACAGCTTGACTCCAGGGAAGAGGAATTAAATGATTATGTGCCTGGGTCACACTGACAAGCAGCGTCACAAAACATACTTTGTTCTTTTTACCTGAAGATGCCCGAGCCCTTTAAACTGCCGAAATTGTTGCAAGCCATAGGATGTCCAAATCAGAGGGACTGAAAGGTCAAGTGACTTGCTGAGGGTTATGCACCTATTCTGTGTACACACCAATAAAACACAGCCTGATTATGCAGATCCTTTTTCTCTGACTTATTTTTCTTCAGATCATGAGGATCTGAAGAGTAAGTTCTAGAAGGCTGTTCATTTTTGGATGTCACTTGATACATGGTCAGTATTGGTTTTAACCTGATTAAGCAAGTACCTTTGTTTTTTAAGCACTGCACCAAGCACAAGGAGGGCAGGTTTCTGCTCCTGCATCCAGTGTTGGCTTTCTGCAAAGATTCCCAGGAAGGTAACACAGTCTCTTTTGCCTTAGGGTCTGTATGTGTAACAGAAGAATGTCTGAGTCTCAGTGGCACGGCATGCTGTGGGAGATGTACCATGTAAATAGTTCAAAGCCCTTCTGTAATGTGAGGAGGAGGAAAAGTCTCAAAGGCCTGAGTCTGTATTCTTCATACAATAAATCCCTGTGAAACCTTTAACATTAAAAGCACATCCATTTAGAACCACATGCAGAGACAATGCTGTAGGAGAGTACCTTGCTGAAATGCTTGCCACTGTCTGCATCCAAGCCATGATCTGGCCACCAAAAGTGTTTCCATGATGGTTTGCATGAGGAGGCAGGACAAGCTCAGTGCTCTGTACGTGAGTGTGCTCAGTTGAAACTGCATCTTTCTCTTCACAAGTGTCTGAAACACAGCAGCAATGTGTCAATGAACGCTTTCAGAAGAAAACACACCCAGCGAAGCGTGCAGTTTGCTTCAGAAGCAGTGAGAAGAAGAAGAACAGGCACAGAAGAGCCTTGTGGCTTGCAAGGGAAGCAGTAAGAGGCTGAACATTTGCTCTGCTCTCCCAGGAGCTGCTGCTGCCAGCCCTGAGTGCATGGCCACATCCCTGTGTCAGGGGCAGCTCCTGTGTCCCTGTGTCAGCTCCTGTGTCCCTGTGTCAGGGGCAGCTCCTGTGTCCCTGTGTCAGCTCGGTGTCCCTGTGTCAGCTCCTGTGTCCCTGTGTCAGCTCCTGTGTCCCTGTGTCAGCTCCTGTGTCCCTGTGTCAGGAGCTGTGTCCCTGTGTCAGGAGCTGTGTCCCTGTGTCAGGGGCTGTGTCCCTGTGTCAGGGGCTGTGTCCCTGTGTCCCTGTGTCAGGGGCTGTGTCCCTGTGTCAGCTCCTGTGTCCCTGTGTCAGGAGCTGTGTCCCTGTGTCAGGGGCTGTGTCCCTGTGTCAGCTCCTGTGTCCCTGTGTCAGCTCCTGTGTCCCTGTGTCAGGGGCTGTGTCCCTGTGTCAGGAGCTGTGTCCCTGTGTCAGGGGCTGTGTCCCTGTGTCAGGGGCTGTGTCCCTGTGTCAGCTCCTTTGTCCCTGTGTCAGGGGCTGTCCCAGCTCAGGGAGCAGCAGCTGAAGCCCCAGCGTGTGCTGGGCTGTTCAGGGCTCCCAAAAGGGGAGGTCAGAGCAGCTCAGCACCAGCTCAGATGTCTGTCACAGACTGCCCTGGGTGTGATGGACACCTGCACACATTGGTTAATTAAGGTTAGAGCAGGACACCGTTATTTCAATCTGTTACAAATCTTGTGATTGTCTGAGACAACACCAAACGGATGAGAGAAATGAGGAGCTGAACAAGTGGCCACCTTGTATTACCTGAGCATTTCTGATGTCACTTTCCAGTCTTTAGCCATGCATCCTCACCCTAATCTCAACACTTTTTGGTGGTGTTTCACAGGAAAAGGTTTAGGCAGGAGATTACATCAAGCAATTTTAAAAGTGCCTGTCTGTGTGATGACCTGCTTGACCCGAATGGTACTTTTGACTTATGCCATAATTAACTAACTTTGAGGTTATGTAAGTGTGTGGAAACCTGTGACTAACTTGTACTTTGGACCTACTCAAGGTGTTCCCTAAGATCCACTCACAAATAATCCTCACTTTCAGGGTATGATTTGTACCTAAGTTGCTACCTAGCAGCCTTTACACGTAATGTTCTCTCCTCTCTTCTCCCACTCTGCTTGTTCTGTCTCCTTGAGGAGGTGAATTAGTGCCACAATAATATCCCTCAAAGAAGTTTCCAGGAAAGGCAGTGGAGACAAAGCCCATCGACCTCTGATTTGTCACTCAGGTTATTAAACTGTACCCTGTGAGACAGTTTCCATGAAGACAAATAGCATGTTTTCTTCTACCAAACAAGCCTCTTCAGTTCTATGAAGTCTTACTAAATTGTTAAGGGTAGATCTTTGTTCATAACAGGTTTAATCTCTCCTCAGTAAAACCACATAATGCCTGTTATTTATACATGGAGCTACAGCTCAGATTTTCCAAATACCAGCATATTTTCTTAACTGCTCTGAGTAATTGCTTTTGTGGGGGAACACAACAACTTTTGAGCACAACTTTCTTTAAGAACAGAAATTACTGCAATAAATAAAGAAGAATCTCTTTCTTTGCTCAGCTTTTCTAACTTTTTTACCTGTTTTGACCTCCATGTAATGAAACTTCTGCTTGTTGGGAATCATCTTGGGGCACAAGCGTAGTTCTTACTTTGCTTTCTGGAAAATACACGGCCATCAGCCCGAGTGAATTTCATGCTTCTGCCTACACCACAAGCAGTGTCACAGCAGCTCATTGCTGCAATGCAGAGCCCTGTGTGACCTCACTCACAGAACCTTTCTGAAGATCTGCATTTCACACTTAATGCATGCTCAGCCTTCCACCCTGTGTTTTTAAATCTGGAATTTCTGAGAGACAAAGAAATACCACTCCATTAGAGTAACTCTCTAACACACCTCTGGCACCTCTAACCTCTAACTTGGCACAGACAAGTTCTACCTGATACCATAACCCCAAGGAGATATTTTGTCTGCTTTTTTCCTTCCTTCTGGCTGCCCATAGGTGTTTGTTCCTCCTTCTATGCTGAGTGCAGAAATCACCTTCCTTATTGCTCTCCTGCATCAGCTTCTGAAAGACCTGGACATAGCCCAGACGGATTCTTCTCCTCTCAATAGCCAGGCTGTGCTCCAGGTGGTCCTCTGCAGACAGCAGCTGTACAGGTTTTAACTCAACCTGTGCAAAGGGAGAGGAAATAAACACAACAGTTCTGAATTTCACAATCATAACAAAGCACGCTTTGAACTTCAAATGCCATCAGCATTTTCTACAAATTTCTCCTACGAGCTGTCCAAGATGGCAGGTTTAATAATACAACAGAGTATAAAGTTCAAGAGATTCTGCATTATCCTTTCAACTTCATTTATTAAAACTCAGTGACTGAGTTAAAACTGCTTTTAGCTTTAAATACAAGCATCCATGAGAGGTGCTCACAGTGTTCAAGACAGCCCTCATTTAAAAAAAAAATAAAAATAAAAAAGACAGGAAAAGATGGACTTAATATGAAGGTTTTCAGGGTTGAATTTTTGAACCAGAAAAATAATTCAGTTGCACTGGCCAGTGGTGTCAGTGCAAATTCCTGCGTATGTCAGTTCAATGACAAACTGCATCCAAACCTGTACTGGCTTAAGAAAATTACTGCATTTGGATAACTACAGCACAGGTGTCACTGGACCATCACCTGTGAGATTTGTCTAGAAGGCTAGCCTCAGAAACATTAAAATAATGCACAAAGTAGTGCACCATAGACAAATCCAACGTTCTGTGTCTTGCAGTGCTGCCACTAATATTTCTCAGCTTTTGACTCTTCCCTCTAACCCTCTTGCAGATTCATTGCCTCCTTTCCAGTCCTTTTCAAGAGCTTCCTTGATTTTCCCAGATGGCCCAGTTAAAAAATTAGGATGGTGGGTATGTTGAGATTCTCCTTGTACAACTTCAGAAACAGTTGTTCAGAAAAGTGGAATTGAGAAAAATATTCTTCATTATCTCTGAGACTTTAGTTTGTGATGGAATTTGAACTGAACTCTCAACCTCCCTCTGGAACATTCCTGTCTTAAGCCTAATCTTAGTTAATCATCACCAATTTAATCCTGAATTAATCTCCCCAGAAATCTGGGCAAAAGGTAAACAGATTGATGTTATGAGTATGATATCAAACTGGTAACGACCAATTCTCACTTGATAATATTTTAGTGCTCTCAGGGTAGCAATTTATCCATCAGCCTTTCAGAGACAAGAGCTGGGCTTTACTTTCAGTGAAACTGCTCCAGAGTGTTTCTCCTCCAGACTGTGCCACATCCTCAGAGAAGAGAAAGCAGCAGTGATTGGATGCATTAATTGCTCATGGGATGACCCTGCCCATCTCCAGTGGATGTTTGACAGCCAGATGTGCGGCTGTAACACATCCAGAGAGACGGGAAACTCAGATCCAGTCACATTCAAGAAAGCAGAATTTCACATACAAAGGGAGTTTATTACGAGGGTCTGAGGAGTGTCTGGCCTTCCCCACAAGAAAGCTCTAGAAGGACTGTGCCTGTCTGGCACAGTGATGGGAAGGCCAATGGCACCGTGACTGATTTCCAAACACCTCCAGAGAGCCAAACTCTGGGGAGAAGAAACAGCCCTGGCGTGAAAACTAATCAACATAAACGGCAAAAAAACAATTTAGATTGGAAGTGAGCTTAAAAATAATGTCTTCTGTCTGAAGAGTGGTGTCTGAACAACCTCCCCAAGAGGGGAAGTGAAGGATGAAAAATCCCACCCTGCAATCAACTGCTGGGAAGGAGAGGGACTCACAAGGGTCCCACTTCCACTGCTTGTCTCTGTCAGTGGTGTAGCCCTCACAAAGACCCCACTTCTATAATGAAGAAAAGTGTAAAAGGAAATGGAAATAATTACAATATCAACAACAACAACCTAACCATTTCAGAGCAGCAAACTGGAAAAAAAACCCAAAACCCTATCTTATAAAGTCTGGACTTCATGCTTTTTTCCTGCCACTGGTCAGAATAAAGAGTGTTTCTGCTGTGTTTCACAAGCAGAAAATTTGGATTATTTCATAGGAACTCAGTGACTCCAAGCTTAGGAGAGAACAGGAAAAATACCTTTGCAGCACCAACTGGTTTGGCCACGTACGTTGCATATGCCACACTCACAATCTTTTCAGCATTAGTCAAAACATCCTGTACTGTCACCTTGATGCCAACCTACGAGGAAGAAGGTGGTGGAGGAAGGTATTTGCATCATTGTCAATTTATTTGAGAAAAAACAGTGCTGTTTTTATCAGGCCCTTGCATGTAAAAAGCAAAAGGTAAAAAACCTGCTTTAATCACTGATACATCTCTGGTCATCACAATATTAACTCAGCTTTGAAAAGTATTTTAGTACAACTGCTTTTATTTTTGTTAAGCATCACTTGTAGGGTAAAATTACAAAGCAGGAAGGACACTTAGAGGTAGTTTTGTATTTCCTTCCATTTACTTCTATGGAATTTGCAGTTGCCATCTGAAACAGTTTCTAATGCAAAAAAAGTGTGTTTAGAGGTGCAAAGCACAATGAAACACTTGAATGTGACACACTGGGTTTGATCCTGTGGCATAGGCCTCATATACACCAAAATTCTTAAGAATTAGATTTCTTCTAATTCTTAGAAACTTTTGGAATACATCACCTGTGAGAAGCATCACTCCTATGGGTAATAATGGGAATTGGACACAGGCACAGTGCACAAACATCTGGAACAAATAAACCTGGACCCATGCTGTGTTCCTCTACTGCTCCCACCTCTGCTCTATCCCTTCAATATCTTTAGGAAAAAGAGTGATGATCTCTTACCTCCATGCTGGTTTTGAATGCTCTGTTCACCTTTGTTCTGATGGCAATAACTTGTCCAACCCTGTTAAGAAGAGTAAGACCTTACAGCATGAAAACATGCAGCTTTATAAGGGCATTAATCAGTCTGTGTCTTCCACACTGCACTGAAAATGCACTGAAAAATGTGCATTTTTCACTGTTTTCAATCAATGCTGTTACTCACCAGTCAGACCTGGTCAATGAAATTACAGCCACTCAGAGATCTGCACACCCTTAATGGCAACATTCCTTCTCTCTGCTGGTGTCTGTATGATGGCAGGTGTGCTCCAGGTACACACAGAAATTCTGGCTTTTGCTCAAAGGCTCGTCCTGCACCACATCACTGAGCACACTGAGCTGCAAAAGCTCTCAGATACCCCCTGCATGCACCTCTGGCACGCAGGTACGTGCACAAGAGGAGATGACCCAGCACAAAAAGTGCTCCTGGACATCTTTAAAGGATGGGGGAAGAGTTCACATTCCAAATCTTGGCCAGGAACTGGGCTGCTTGTCCTTTCTGTGCTAACATCATCCCTCTGAAAACTACTCTTCCCCACTGACCTACATAAAATACCTAAGCAGAATTTTTACTTCATTATCTAGTGTGATTTTATTATATTATGTATTATTTTTATTATAGGATTACTTTTTATTATATTATTTGTTTTTCTATATTACTTGTTTTTTGTTATATTATTTGTTTTTATTATATTATTTATTTTATTCTTTCTTATCTTTTAAATTCTCTTTATTATATCATCAAAACAAATTAAAATGAGGAAATCTTTTTCTTTCCTTCTGGAATTCCTGAAGCACCTGCTCCCTGTTGCTAACAGGAGCAAACCTTGTTTCCAAAGCCCTCCAATCCCAGCCCCAAGCAGTGCTGAGAGGGTGGAAGGAAGGCAGTTTGCTCTCAAGTTCTCCCACTGAGCAGGAAGTAAAAGGACACAATGTGCAGGGTAAGCCAGAGCCACAGCCAAAAGAGATGGGTGTCAGGCCACTGCCTCCAGGGAATTCAAACTGAGTTACAAATGCTAAAGAGCAGTCCTGGGGCAGGCAAAGTGGAGCTAATTACAGCCAAGACTGAAGTAAAATGTAACTCAGAGCACTTGGGTACTGACAACACATTCACAGCAAAGGATTTCGTACGGTTATTACCCCAGTTTATTTAAAGTAGTAATAATAATAATTGCTCCCTAATTTAAACTAATGAAGTTTTGACATTTAAAGGTAAAGGCTTACTTAAATTGCTTATTCCACTGCAGAACTAGAATGGGAAATAGGAAACCTGCTCCTTCAGAGGACCTGCCAGGACCAACAAACCACACAGCAATTTTCTCTTGTTCACATCCAAGAACATGGGGGGAATCCTTTGGGTGGACAGGGCAGGGGAAACGGTCAGTGGGAAGAACTAAGAGCATCTGCAGGTGCACAGCCCTCATCAGCCCCTGCAGAAGATGCTCAGAAGCAGTTTTTGCATTATTCATTGCAGAGAAAAAGCAGAACTGTTAAGGCAATGGTTCCCAACTGCACAGCTAGGAGAGTGCTCAGAAGTACAAAAATGCAGGAGCAGAAATCACACAGTGCCACACCTCCACTTGAAACTGTCAGAAACTTACCTGAATTCACATACAGAACACTAACAAAACCTAAATAAATGATGTAATTGAAAATCAGTACCACTGAACTGCTGTGTGTTACAAGAAAAGGAAGAGGTTATCGTGCTATAAAACTAAGTTTTTAACTATATAGATTTTTGACAATTTCTGTTTACATCTCAGCTGAAATAAACACAGAAGCCTTAATCCTTGCAGAAGATTTAGTAACCTGGTTTAGACAAATAAACCTGACAGTAAGTCACTTACTTAAAAAATGTCTTATTAATTTACCAGAGAGAGTAGCAAGAACTCTTTTATTTATGCAAGATGTTTGTATAATTAACTAGATCTGGCAAAATTTAGGAAATTGCACGGTAAGCTACAATAAGGATGTTAGGGATGACCTGACAGAGAAAAGCAATTTCTTAAATAATTTCTTTCACAGTTACAAGATTTGTACCGGAAATTCTTGTTACAAATGGAACATCGTTATTACAAGTGAAAGAATAACCAGAAATATTTGGAAACAGATTTGGAAGGAAAAGTATTTTCATCATATTCCAGAAGCTTTGCTCTGCTCTCAAAAAACTAGACAGAAAAGTGCTCTGAAGCTACCAAGTCTGAACTATTACATCTGAAAGGGAAATATTACTCTGACTTTGATTAGTTTTCACAGACAGGATTTTTTTCCTAAGGACAAAATTAAAAACATGGAGCAATTCCAGTCAGAGCAAACACTGCAATATTGTGAAACAGACACAGAAATTCTCTTTAGAGTTCCAGATTTGGTAAGGTCACGTTCTCTTCTTTGTCACTGGCTCTAGTTCTTACTCTGATGGACACTGCTCTAACAGTCTCAAGTCTGAGTGGATGCTTATTTCACACTTATGCCATGAACAGCTTTAAAGTAACCTCAGCTGTGCCTCTGGCAGTGGGTGCTGCCTTGCTCACAGCCACAACAGCTGCATGTGCACTGCTCTGAGCATCCAGGTCTATCCCATCTAACCACTCATTAACTCCCAGGCTGCTCCCTGTAAAACCACACAAATCCCACAGAGTAATGGCTCCAGGTTTCTGTGAAGATATGGCATAAAGGTCCTATTTCCTCTTACAGTGTCTTTGATCCCACTGAAAACCAGGAAAAATGGCTGGAACAAGGCCAGCCCTGTGCTATCTTGTAGACTCAGTGAATGCAAAACATTTCTCTATTTTCTAAAGGAGCTGCAAGGAAAAGATGTTAAGAAGTGAACCGAAACAGAACTTGCCACAATAAAAACACTAATAGCAGTAAGTTTTATAAGTATGTATTTCTTATTTAACAGAGATAAGCAAGGGCCTGCAGCAATTCACTAGAGCCAGAGGCCATCAGTTTCTCACCAGGCACCTCGATTGCCAGCTCAAGGTAACAAGAGTTTATTTCTGCCCTGTGAAAAGGATCTGCTCTCTGTGTGGGTCAAGCTACCACAGACAGAAGAGAGCAGTTTTGAGACTCAGCCCTGTGGCTGTGGTGAGTTCACAGGTCTGCTATCCCCCACTTAATAACGCCTCAGTTTATCTCTGCCAAATAAAATCCTACAGAAGGAAAACATCTGACTGCTGTCAGCCGGTCTGTACCTGGCAGCCTCTTCAAACTGGATGTCATCCATGGACACTGTCACGCAGGACACCCCAGCATGTTTCTCAGCTTCAAAAGAGACACAGGGGCACACAGTTACCACTCTGCACCTGCAGGGAGCTATTCACCTGTGGGCTGGAGCCTGACACACAGGGACTGCACACCGCAGGTCCCGCTTCTTCCTGTGAACAACACACTGCAACGCTGCAGAGCGCCCCTCGGGAAAAAAGAGAAGCTAAGTAAGGTTAAAGTTAACACTTTTTATCATGATTTTGTTGTAAAGGGTGTTTGTATTTATGGGTAACATCAGGAGACGAGACTAGATGATGCTACTCAGTTTGAAAACTTCTGCCTAAGGTCTTTTTCTAAAAATGGACATTCCGGTAGGAGAACCTTAACAAGCATTTTGAAAGACAGAAAGAGTCACAAAGGGTTACCAGGCTCACAGACAGCTCATCATTCTTCTCAAAACAATGTGTCATGAGCATCAGCTAAGGTAATCCAGTTTTATGTCAGCTGAGGATTCTGAGATGCAGGAGAAGAACCGACTTATTGGTAGATAAAAACCTTAGTTTATTAGTGCAGTCACAACAGTGGAAAGCAGCTAAGTACACGTCCTTAGTGCTGCACCAAAAATGCAGGAATTAAAGAAAAACAAAGACAAACAAGATTTTGAAAATTCAAAAACTGAATTCACCTGCTGTGAAACACTTTAACCTGAATTTGAACAGCTATTCATCTCCCTGGGATGCATCAGGCTGCGAAAAAGAATGTACGGTTTTTGTATTAATTATGAAAGCTAATATGGAAAAAGTAAACATCTTATTTACTGTTAATATTTAATCACCTGATAGTTAAGTTTTTATAGCAAGTTAATATATATTATTTATTTGACCACGGCACCTAGAGCTTCCAGTCAAAAGGTAGATGTCCAGTGAACTAGGAGCTGTATAAACCTCTGCTCCAAAGTCCTAAGTGGCAGAGGCAAGAGAGGGGACCAGCAGGAAGCCTGGGAAACAGCACTGCACAACAGGCAAGAGCTCTCGCTCCCAAGCAGCCCCGTGTTATTAGTGAGCATCACAAGATAAGCTCAGAGAAATCAGAGGTTTTGTATCAACATCTGAAGAGTTCCCTTTAAAAATATGAGGGGAAACCAGAGTCTCTCCTCAAGAAGCACTGCTGAGGGTAAACACACTGCAGGGCTGGAATCACTCCTCCACAAAGCTGAAAGGAGAGGCAGGTTTGTTTGGAGCAGCTGCCCCAGGCCAGGCGGTCCCGGGTCACGCAGGGCAGGCGGGCGAAGGCAGCTCGCTGCCAGCGCTTCCCCTGCAGCTCACAGCAGGCACACACACCTCACTTCTACAAGTTACCGAGGCGGCTTTAGGAGCTTTCGGGGCTGGGATAGTCAGACATGGAATGCCCTGCACGCTGGTTGGATTTGTGGTTGTTTCACAGAAACAACCGAGACCATTTAGTCCAATCCCCTGCCACGGCAGTGGCACCTTTCCCTCTTTTTGGCACACATGTCCCAATAATCTTAAATTAGTACTTTCCTTCCTTCTCTTACTTACCTTTTCTCACCTCTTTTTTTCCCTTCTGCTGCTCCTTTTTGAAACTCTCCTCATCCTCACATTCCCTTCCTCGCTCTGCTGTGCCATCTGACGCCTCATCCTCGTGGTGTCTGTTCCTAACTGGACCCCAAATCTCCAGGGCTCCTGGAGAGATGTGGAGCTCTTGGAGCGGGTCCAGTGAAGGCTGCCAGAATGACTGGGGGTACTGGAGCATCCTCCTCGCTAGGGAAGGCTGAGGGAGCTGGGTCTGCTCAGCCTCGGGAAGAGGTGAGTGAGAGGAGACCTCATCCACGTGTATGAATGTCCAAAAAGGGTGTCACAGCACGGATCAGGCTTGGTGGTGCCCAGCCATGCGACATGAGGCAAGGGGCAGAAAACAATGCCCAGGAAGCTGCACCTGAACTGTGCCAGGGAAGTTCAGGCTGGAGATCGCTCTTCCCTCAGAGGGTCGTGGGGCACTCAGCAGGCTCCCCAGGCTGACAGAGCTCCAGGAGTGCTTGGACAGGGGGGATTGTTGGGGTGGGACTGGGTGATCCCTGTGGGTCCCTCCCAGCTCAGGATATTGTGTGATTCTGTGATGTAGAACTTCTGTGAGCACTGGAACACACCGCCCAGAGAGGGTGTGCAGTGGAGCTCACCGGGCCCGTCCCACAGCGTCCGCAGGGATCCTGTATGCCGTGCTCTGGGATGACCCCGAGGCGGCACAGGATGGCCACTGTGGCCCTTCCACCCTGCCCCAGCCTGTGACCCGGCGCAACCCTCACAGCCCTCTCCCCGTCCCTGGGGATGAAACTTTCCCTCAAGCCTCCCGCGCCCCAAGGCGGGGGCTGTCCCCTCCCGCTGCGGTACCTGCGAGGCAGGCGGCGGCGTCCATCC